AAGTTACCATGAAGTAGAATCAAAGCAATCCATATGTAACTGCTAGGAGAAAATTCATGGCAAACTTTAACTACTGCACTAAATACCTTGATAAACCCTATTTTAAAAAAAAATATTTCAAGAAGTTATTATTTCAAGAAATTTTCAGTGTAACAAATACCTATCCCTATAGTTAGAATGATTTGAGTGTTAAATTGGAATATAAGAGATAGACTTTTCAAACTTTTGCCAGTTTATTTGAAAATAATCAGTATCTGCTTCTTGGTAGATAGACTTGGTAATCTATTTAATGATCTTTAATTCTGTTGCTCTGCAAGGAACACCTGCTTAGGTTTTTTTTTTTTGGACAGGTGCTGAGAATCATAATTAAAAACTGTGATGGAGAGAAGATATGTCTAAGTACTTAAAAAGGGTCCTCTGGGACACCAGGACTTCCCTGACATATGGACAATGAAACAAGTGCAACAGCAAAATTAGTAGCCTAATGACCTCAGCTCTTGGAGGCTCTGTGACACAGACTTCTAGAGCAACTATTCAAAACTAATCATGTACACCACTAATATACAGGCACAATGAGCCAAAAGTACCTGACCTTCTCATCGATTCTCTTTGAAATGTAAACAATAATCTGACAGATCAGAGAGGCTAAGCCTCTTCAGTTTAATGAAGATCAAATTATCTTCCATTTCTTCCCATAAAATTTTGGCAAGAGTGTATTGCTTGTTCTCAGTGTTACACGGGAGTTCAGAGGTGTTCAACAATATGAGAAATTTCACAGCTTGAGTATCTGGAAATGCCCATACATGATTTCACCCTTTTCACCCTCTGTAGTCTCTACCAAGTATGAATTATTCCATTAACATTCATATGATGCTGTTTCCACCACACTGGAATCCTCTGTGCAGACCCACGGACCTAATCAAACACATAATCAATCAATTTGCTTGTCACATACAAGCAGCAAACAAGACTTCTTTGTGTCCTACACAATTGCCTTTTGAGAAAAAAAAGTGGGCTACTGGTTTGTAAGAGCATGTAATACACAAGTAATGCGTGAGGGGCCAGAGCCTGTGGCGCTGAGGAAACCTTGTGACTGAATTCCTGAAAAGGGACATTTCTGATGGGTTACTCAGACTGCCCTGACTAGTGTTCTGAAATGACACAGTATGAAAGAATATATTTAAAAGATTAATCACTGGAATCAAAAGCTTCTTACAAGTTAACAAAAGACAAAAGTGGGCAACCCTTTGGCTTTAGTATCACTGAACTTTCATGAAGGATGAACTCTTGCTGCAGAACTCTGCAGAGCAGAAGGGAAAACAACAGAACAGCTCAACGGTTTTTAAATGTCTCTCTCAGATTCTCAAGGGGCAACAAAAAGAGAGAAACATGACACTCATCCTTTTTTGGTGAGGACATCACCTACTGCCTTGAGACCTTTAAGACCCTGCAATGAGACAAGAATTGAAAGTAATTTAAATGGGCAAATGTGGCCACATCCTTTTCTAAGTCAGCCACAACATCTTTCTGTTGTTATGCTGTAAAAAAACCTCCAGAAAAGCAAACATGCTTTGCATATGTACACAATAAAAACCACATAGGTGTGCAAACACACTTTGTTAAAGCTTTGATACATACCCTATGTGATCAAGGAATTTTAGTGTGCATGTAAATTGCATTCCACAACTTGGACCCTATTCACACCAGGTAGGAAACTTGAAGCCCTGACAGTCCCAACTGATGTAATGACTAATAAATTCTGCTAAAATTGCTTTTAAAAAAAGCCATTACCTGTATTTCAGATGAGTGGGAAACACTACTAAGAATCAATTAAAAATTTGTTACATGTCATGTTTACTTGGCTTTTTACAACCATGTTGGAATTTAACCATATAGAGTACAAATAATTCTCTAACGCAAGTTTCCTAAGTCAGAAAGGGTCTGATCTTCATTACATAACAAAATCTCGTCAATGATTTCTTCAAAATCTATGTACTTTTAGAGATGATACACATGGCAACTTACTTTGATGCATTAGATCAGAGCATACATTCCCTGGTCTTGCATTTGGAAATTGCTACAATTCCATTTATGTAGAATACTTGTGGGAAAATAATGAAGACATTTATGCAGTAGAAATTTGAACAGGGGCTTAGGTAGGGTTCCTCTAAGTTTGCTTTACAGCATCTACGGATAGGTTGAAACAATTTTTATTAACCAACCTGAAAAACCTCCACTATCATCACCCCAGCAGAAGCAACTCAGGATCTCTGGAAATTATTATGGCTGGTGCAGAAACAGAATAACCACTGATGGAATGTTAAACATCTTTATTTACATAGTCAAAATAAATATTTGATAAGGCACAGCTAACCAAAGTACCACAACATTTATTTTTTTTAAGCATGTATGTCAAAGGAACACGGGTGCCACCTCCTGGTTTAGGCATGGAAACACTCTCGGTTGTGCTTACTGCATTCAAAACTTCCAACTAGACGTAGGGTTTTTTTCCTCTCCTTTTCTTAAAGTAACTAGAATGTTCATCTTCAACATTCACAGAATGCTTTAAGAATAAAAATAACCAAATGCAAGAATCCAATAAAACTTGCTTATCTTTAGTGCCTGGAGCAAAACAGTCACATATACTCTTCACAAATTTAACTTCACAGATATAAAATCCTATTAAAACACAGGAATGACGACAATTTTAAGTAAATATTCAAGTGCAGTGGCTTGTAATTCAAGAAGCAGTTTTGGAATCAATGTGCAGTATGTTCTTACAACTCTTTACTACCCTAAAAAATGCCTTTATTAATTAAGTGAAATGTATCCATCTCCTATCCAGGAAGTGACAAAATCTAATAAAGAAGGGTTGAGAAATTCACTACAAATGGCACAAAGAACTGCAGCCCATTTTATATCTACTGCAACCGTCAAATCAAAAAGTTGTTGAGAATATAGGGGTAAAACACAACTCTGAGTTCCAGTCCTGTACATTAGCAGCTGTGCAGGGGTAAAAAAAAGGTTGACTTCATTTCACACACCTCAAATGTGTATCACTGTTATGTCAGTCATTTGCTAACAACTACCAAAGTTCTTCTAAAGCAATATTAGAAGCAATTTAAGAAACAAATCTGCCCCAATTCAAGTGTTGCCCCCACTGCAGACACACAGATAACTGCACCTTCCCTGTGTATACATGGGTAAAGAATTTACCAGCACTGGGTGAATGCTGGCTCTGGGTCTCTGGTTTTCTCCCCATATTCAGTATGGGCTAGAAGTACATGAGCCCACATGCTGAGAGAAGCTGCATTGTGTTAACTCCGTATGGCATTGTGTCCTATAGACTCCTAAATCTTGCCTCCCAACATTACAGCTCTCTGCCATTTCACTCTTGCATATACCCACATAAAGCCTATTTTTCCCCACAGGCTAAGAAGCCACTGCTAGACTAAATGTTATAATTTCCCAACTCTGCACTCTTCTTCTGTGTATTGACTTGCTGTAAATCATAATCATAATCCTCAAGTCTTCTGGAATATATGGAGCAGCTTATATATATATTTTTTAAGTATGACCCTTGGGAACAAAACACTTTCATGTGTTTGATGTCCCGAAAAACTCTCATTCATATTAAGACAGGCAATTATTGCACTTGTATCCCACAGTAACATGCACTTCCCGAAGCAGAACCACAACTCTTTCTGCAGTCACCATCCCCATACTTTCTTATCCCAAAGCAGCACAGTCCACGATGCATTCATCAGCACTTGACCAATTCCTTGTTTGGCAAAGGTTCTGCCACGACTTCATCCCGCATGAACTGCTCCTAAAGACAGCAAGCAGGGATTTAGGCGATTTACATTGTTTTTGGATCTCCTCTAGCTCACCCAGGCCGGAAAACAGAGTAATTATAGTATGAATCTGTCTCCCAACACACGTAAGCTGTAACGTGCCTACGAGGTGAGGAAAGCTGCCAGGGCTGCTGGGGTCAGCCACAGGAGCTCCTCACACCACCGAGTTCATCCCGTCTGTATCCTACCCCACGCCCACCCAGGTAGAGGCGTCTTTTAAGCCCAAGCACGGCAGGAGGACACCAGAAATACGAGAGATCGGGCAGCAGAGGTAGTCTCAAACCAGGCATTTTCAAACGCCGCCTCCCGCACGGGGCGGCGAGCCGGGACTCGAGGGACCCGGCTGGAACCGCGGGGCTCCGACCGCCCTCCCTCCGCACCCACCTGGTCGTAAATGACGCGCAGGATCAGGGAGCAGCTGGGGCAGGTGGCCACGTCCTCCCCGTTCTCCAGGTCCTCCTGCAAAAGCGCCGGGGTGCGGTCAGGGCCCCGCCGCCCGCCCGGCCCACGGGCCGCACCACCCCGATCTGCCCCCAGCCCTGCCCGGCCGCCCCTCACCCGCGTGATGAGGAACCGGTCCCCGCAGGGACACGGGTAGCTGTAGGTCCCGGTCTCCTCGTCGTACTCGAAGTCCTCGATCTCCACCTCGTCGTGGAACACGGCCATGCCTCCGGCAGCGGCGGGAGCCGGGCCGGGCGGACGGGAAGAGGCGGCGCCTGCCGGGGCACGAGGGCGGAGCTCCCCGAGACGGGGTGCGGCGGCGGGTAGGGGCGTGGGAGCGGGCCGGGGGCCCCGGGAGGTTCGGGGGCGGGAGTGGGGGCCAGGAGGGTGAGGGGCGGCGGGCCGAGGGCAGCGCGTTCGAGCCCCGCTGGCCCGCCCTTTCCCCACGGCGGGAGCCCCGCTGGCCGGTCGGTGGCCGGGCCGCCCTCTGCGGCCGTGGCGCTGCCGGTTCCAGCCCTGGCGGCTTGCCCGGCGATCCCAGGGGCTGCGAGGGAACGGCCGGGCACTGCTGCCACCTTGCCCTTGGCCCTGCCCCTTGCCCTTGGCCCTGCCCTGCCCCTTGGCCCGGCCCCTTGCCCTTGGCCCTGCCCCTTGCCCTTGGCCCTGCCCTGCCCCTTGTCCCTGCCCCTTGCCCTTGTCCCTGCCCTGCCCTTGGCCATGTGCTTCCCCTGCCCCTTGGCCGCCTCAGTGCCGCCGCGCCCCAGCTGGGCACTTCCTTCCTTGCAGCGCTCACCGCCTTACCCTCAGCCCTGGGAAAACCGGGGAAACTTTGTTTTCTGTGATTACTTTTGCAGGAAGGACTGTTTGTCTAAAGGAGTGTTTCAGCGAGAGATAGCTTTTGAAAAAAATCTTCTGTGCTGCTTGCTTGCAAGTACCCTTGTTGCCTCCCTCTACACTTTCTTGCATTAGCCTACCTAGTAATTTGCACTTAAGTGTGATACGGGCGGGCTAAAAGTAGTTCTCCCTTCAGATAGTGACGTGGGATTGTGGGGCAGAAGAGATGCAGACATATATCTCAACAGGTATTAACCCAGGACCAGGATCAGAGGGTATGGAGAATTAATGGCTCGTTGGTTTTAAGTGAGGAGAGGAAAAAAGTCATGAAAAGTTATCATTTCATTCCGTGGAGGAAAGGAGGTTTATAAAATATGTAAAGGATGGGTGTCAAGAAGATGGAGTCAGGCTCTTCTTAGGGGTGCCAACCACTAGGACAGGAGGCAGTGGACAGAAACTGATGTACAGGAAGCTCCACCTGAATATGAGGAAGAACTTTTTTATTGTGTGAGCGACCAGGCACTGGAACAGATGGCCCAGAGGTAATTTCTGGAGATATTCCAGAACCATCTAGATGCAGTCTTGGGCCCTGTGCTCTCAAATGGCCCTGCTTGAGCAGGGAGGTTGGACCGTATGACCCACTGTGGTCCATTCCAATCTCTGTGAAAAAAAGAGGGGATTTGGAGTGGCTATTCCTGTACTGGCTTGGGTAAGGTGAGAATACAGGGAGAACATCCTACCTGACAGGAGCCTGGGAAGGTGAAGCACAGCGCTTTCATGGAGGGCAGGGAATTGCCAAAGAGCTGGGTGAGTGAAAAAATCACAGAGGTCACAGATGGGGAAAAGCTGTTCATGTTTTGTAAAGGCATGAGTCACGCTTGTATGTGGTAGAGGAGAACCAGGACTCATTGAAAGACATTTTGGAATTTATTGGTGGCGGAGTAAAAATTGCAAATTATTTTTATTGTGTTTTTCATGATTGGAAAGTGATGATAGTATAAATGTACCAAGTTTCTTGAGCTATGGTTCAAGAATTATTTCTAATTTAGGACAGAGACTCAGCCTTCAAGTAGTTGTATCAATAGGGTCTTTCAGCTGTGACTATAAAATTAGGGTGATATTTCTTTTGTATCCAATATTATGTATTGATATTGAACTTCAGGCTGATTGGAGATGCAGATGTCTGTAACCATGATATGCTATATGAAAGATTCCAGATCATAAAGTGATCTCATGAATTTGAAAAACTGATTTTTGAGCACTCTGGGTTTACAGATAATATGCCAAGATAGAGGAATGGGACTTGATTAGATGTGTATTTTGTTGTCCTAAATATTTTGAGATTGTTAATACTTTTGTTATCAGTAGCATCTACAGATTTGGTGTAGATAGTACTAAAGTGTCTTGCTTAAACACTTAAGTACACTTTAACTACTTTTTGTTGCTGTGGGAAAAATATTGAAGTCATTTTGCTCACTAAGGGTGGAAGACTTTTAAATAATTCAATTTTTAAAAGTTGCAAGCTGCTGTGAAATTAAATGCTGAAAAACTAAAACTTAAAAATTATGGATAGTTAAAAGCTGTAGAAAGTATTTCTTATGTTTGAAAATGGGTATTTTGAGTAGTGATTGTAAATGTATTCAATTTCTGAGCAGCCTAATTTATGGAAGCTCTGCCTTCATTCATATAAGACTACAAACAGGACAGATTACTAAGTGACCAGCCAATGTAGCTGTTAGTGAAATCCTAGAGAGTATTGGCCTGATTAGTTACCAACCAGCTGCATCAATGCCATTTCAAGGGATTAGAAATAATAAAAAAAAAAATTGAAAATAAATTACACGCTTTAAAAGAATGCACAGAAAGCTATTTAAATGAAAGTAAAATATTAATGCTTTAAAGAAGCAGTAGACTGTATCATGGGAATAAATATAGTTTGATAGGTGATGATATATGATAGTTATGCTAACATTCTAGGAAAAATAATGGCAGATTTACCAGGAAGGAGAAATATCTCTTGGCTCTCCATGAGCCTGTTCCTACACTTGAAGGGTATTTCTGACGAACCTTGCATGTTAATGTCAGTTCATCTTTCTCTGTCATAGCTGAATGTGTGAAGCTTCACACTGTGTTCCACTGCAGTGCATATGAGAGTCCTCCACTTTCTTTACTCTTTAGAGATGTATTGTGTAGGGTACATGGAAGTGTGAGGTATTAATGTGTTTTTGAATTAACCTGTGAACAAACAGGCTTAAGTAAAGTTTATAAAATTCTCTGCCCAGAACCTTTTCTTTTCCACTAGAAAGGGAATGCACAGTCAGTGTTTGATCATTCATACATAAATATTGTTTGAACAGTTAAAATCACAGATATGCTGGCTGGAAGGCACTTCTGAGCATCATCCAGTCAGAATTCTTGCTTGGAGCAGGACAGTTGTTCACACTGGATTAAGCCAGTCCCAGGTACAGACTTCTGTCATGAAATTTCTGCTTTCCAGGCCTGCAGTTTCTCAGTTCCCCTTTGATGGGGAGCTCTACTAGTCTAACCTAGTATCATCCACAAATTTGCTGATAAGAGAATTGCCCAGAGGGGACCTCAAAGATCATCCAGTTCCAACAGCCATGCCATGAACAGGGACACCTGGTGTCTTATCATCCAAGTTAGTGATAAATATGTTTACCTGTATCAGTCACAGGGTACTCTTACTGTTCTAGCCAACAGGTGAAGCAAACTTGAAGCCATCAAGTCTTCAATTCTGTCTGCCCACAAGTTTTCAGCCACTCCAATCATCCATCTGGTTTTGGCTTACTAACATGTGTGTGCTTCAGGGGCTGGTGCCAGAAGCACCGGGACACTCAAGGTGTGTTGCATCCTGTCCCCTCAGCTGTGTGACCAGACCTTTCATCACGGTAGCTGTTCAGATTTATCAAACGTAACCTGCCCTTGGTAAATCTGAGTCACACCCTCCTGATTGCTTTCTTAGCTTTCACCCAGCTAAGGGGACAAGCTCTGAGCATTTTTCCAGATACTGAGATGGTGCTGACTGGATGTAAGTACTGCTTCTGCCTCTCTTAAAAATGAGCACATGTAAGTCTTTTCCCAGTCAGTTGGAGACTGTGTGATAAGTGTTTTTCATAGGCAATAGACACTTGCCTGATAAGCATGTCAGCTGTGTCTCTTAGCAACCTTGAGTGTAACCCATCTGGCTCTGCATTTGAGTGCATCCAGCTCTCTGAGCAGGTGCTGGCCCTGCTCCTACTTATCCCTCTCCTTCCCAACCACCACTGATACATGCAGAGGTCTGGGTACAGGCTTTGCCTGTAAAGACCAAGGCTAAGGGAATGTTGAGTACTTCAGCCTTTTCCATACTATCTCTGACAAGGCCTTCCCCTTGTGAGAGACTGAAACATTGATGGTTAATGGCTCAAGCAATTGCCCATTTGGAAAAGCTACAGGGGCTTTGCTGAGGCTGGGTTTGGACTGAAGGAGGAGAGGTTTGGTTGTGTGGTGGGAATCCTCTGATCTGCATAAGAGCAGCCCACGTGCACCCTCCTAGCAGCAGGGAGGGTGAGCAGCCACCACCAGAGGATGGCCACAACAAACTGACCTTGGTTTAACAACAAGCTGGGTTTGAGCCAGATAAGGGAAAAGGCCAGTGAGAAGCAGGTGCTGCTGAGGTGGGATAATGCTGTTTACCCTGCCAGTGTCCTCCCTTACACAGCTGGGCCAGCTGTAAATCTCCCCTCCCAGGGAAGGTATCAGGACACTGGTGTTCCCAGCTGAGCCTGGAGGTGTTCATCCCCTCCTGTGGGGCAGAACTGGCTCAGTTACACTGGCTTGAGAGGCAGCTGGCATGGCTTAGAGGGTGTCATAACCCATCAGAGACCCCAAACTGCCCCCAGAGTAATGTCCGGGGCCTTCCACCAGACCACTGCACATGATCCCCAGTGTTGGAACGGACAGTGTAAAACTCCCCCAGGGGAGGTGCCTGGATGTTCCCACCTGAATATGAACATATGAACCCATTTTGTGGTCTTCCCTCACCCCTGATGGATTGAATATCCAGCCATCACTTTGACTAAGTGAAATTGCAACAATCTGTTCTTGTCACCAACTTGTCATGTGGTTGGTGATATCTTTTCTCTCCCCTATCTTCTCTTATCCTTTCTTCCTCTTCCTTTCTTTTCCTTATATATTTTATTAAGTGATTCTTTTATACTTTTATATTGTTTCATTTCTATAAATAATAACTAGCATGGCTTTGTACCTCCTTTGCATTGCAACCAAATGTTCAAAACCACACCTGCATTATATATATATATATATATATGTATATATATATAAAAAAACAAACACTGGTCATTTAGTGTCATTTCACTCTAATCTGCCCCAAGGAATCTATTTACAAGCACCTCAGTTATCCTCACCTTTAGAAGTGCGAGTAACATCTCTTCACTGGAAGGATGTACATTTTCACTTCTTTATGAAACTCATGTTTTCAAAATTCCCTCTCATTATACTTTATATGATTTGCTAGTTTTAGCTCTAGCTGAGCTTTGGCTTTTCTGATTTAAGGGGAAAAAAAGCTGAAAACAAGCCATGCCAAACACTGAATGCTTCATTTAACATACAATTATTTTTTTATATTAAAAATATTTACAATTTTTTTTTTCAGAAACCAGTGGTTCTGAAGACTGCCTGGTCATCATGGTTCATGCTACTGTTTATGTGGGTTTCACTGTTCCTCAGTTACTGAGAGGTGCTCAGAGCAGAATTTTTCCCTACCATTCTCCATTGGGGGTGTTGAGACACTCTGCTTTTTGTTACTGCACAGGAAATGGGTAGGTTATCCACTAACTTGATTTTTTTTTAAAGAGAATACCATGGTAACGCTGTCAAAATCAAACTGACAAATTACTACAGACCTATAAATGCTTAATCTAACTTCTAATTATATATTTGTATTTAATTCTTATTTAGATTTGTGTCATCTGTAGTCTGGATTACACTGGTAAATTGTTATGTTAATAGAAATTCATATCAGTAAGGGACAGTAGCACAGCTGTCAAAATGACAATTATCTTTGTTTGCTTTTTCTTGCAGCACAATAAAATCAAAAAGGAAAATGGATCATCTAGAGAGGACAGCAAATAATTTTCGACAGGAGGTTAGTGTTCTGTTCTTTAGGATGCAAGTAATTTTTTTTTTTTTTTTTTTTTGCTGTGGAGATAATTATATTGGATAATAGAATTCGATTCTTAGGCTCCATTTTGCCTTCTGCTGGAGTCTGGTTTTCTTCTTTTTCTCCTCATTTTTATATTTGTTACTGATATAAAATTAGCATATTTAGTGCTCAGTGGGTGAAATGTAATGAATTTTAAAGTTTTTCAGTTATATGGTGCTGTTTACTTTATGTTGGACAAGAAACTTAATAGATTTCTGGCCAAATAAGGATTATAATAAGTAATGAAAGCACATGGATACCCCTTATCTCTAAACAGACTTCTCCAATTTTTATGGATTTCTACAATTCTGGTTCAGATTTGAGATTTAAAAATGTGGAAAGTGTCCTTTTATAAAATAGGAATACAGCAAAAAGTGTAGATATTTTGAAGAGAGAGGTGATAAACAGCTGTAAAAAAGGTCTTCAGTTTTACCTATTCTAATTCACAAATACAAGGAAGGTATAGCATCATTCTCCATCAAATCCAGAAGTGCTTATTCTGGATCTCAGTTTTGAGCAGCAAGCATTCTTTTTCATAATGCTCATAGGGGAACATACTCTTGTATTCCATACAGATATTTCCTTTCTGTAATAAACTGAAGTAGATGCACACAGATGCAAACACACCACACATCTCCCAGTGTACGCACATGAAGACCTTCTCTGATGTTTTTCTCTAACTATAGTAGAGAATAAATGACATTCTTCCCAAGAGGAAACTGGGTGCAGGGGATATATAGGTAACCCCAAAGAGAGAAGATTCAGCCCTGTCTGACATGGGCTGTAGATGGATGAGACAAATGCAGCCTGGTTCTGCCTGTCCCCAGAGCTGTGAGCCAGCTGTGGGAACCACGGAGCTGTGCCTCAGCTATTCACACCAATGCCAGCTCTCCCTGAGTACAGATCAGTATTGCTTGTGGACATCCAGCTGCTCTGGTGGATCCTGTTTACCCAAAAAAATGGATGTAGAGACAGGCATAGATTGATGCATGTTCTCCTTTGCTTCTGACATGAAAAAAATGATGGCACTTCTGAGAGTTGCAACCGTGGGTTTTTAAATATTTATTGTTTGGCTTGTTTCCTTTCTCTGCTCAAGGTCAGTACCTGAAAAATACATGGAAAATGGATCCATCCTTATGAGGTGTTGGAAGCTCAGGGTTGGTGCAGGGAACTGTAAGGCATGAGGAAGAGAAGGAAGCTGTATGAGACAGGTGAAAGAGCAGGGCTCAGTTCTTGCTACTGCACATTCTCTGCATATCAGAGGATTATGTTGTTTCATTTTTTAATACTTGATTTATTCTTTGTTGCTTTATTTCTGACCACTTTAAAATCAGTTTATTTTACATCCTCTGCTTGGTTTTAAATTCCGTATAATCAGCAGTTGGCTTCCCTCAGCCAATATTGCCTTATTTGGCCATTTCTGTCCCGTAAAAGATGAAAGAATCATAAATCTGTGTTGCATTAGTGTGAATGCTACAGAATATTGCCTGTTGAAGAGTGATAATGTGAAGAACCAGGGCAAGGAAAAGTGGCTAATGATTTCTTGAAATACAGCTGCAAAATCTAGGATCCTGTGCCCTCCTCTCACTGCAGCCTTCCTCTGACTGGTTCGATACCCTTGTGATGGTTCAAAATACTGGCTGAATGTCTTTGATCACCCTGACTCAAATTTAAGTTTTGAAAGAACTTTATAGCAATTAATTTCCAGTACTTTTGCAGCTCTCTCAGCCAAAAAACAAATAAAGGAGTGTACTGAAGAGTAAAGAAGGGACTGAAGAAGATACAAATTTAATATCCTTTTCCTGCACTTCTCCATCAAAACAACCATTGAAGTCATGTATCTGACATTTCTCTTGTTAACTTTGACTGACTGCATTCCTATTTAATACTGTCTGCTAAAGTGGAACAGGAATCCATGCTACTTCATTTTAAATTAGCAAATGTCCTGCTGTTTAATGGGACAGGGGACGTGTTCAGATGTTGCTTTAAGAATAAATTAATTTCCTGGCATATGTTTTAAATTACAGCATAGTTGCTTAAAGTTACAATTTTTTGGATCTGTTTGATCTCAGACAAATGAGAAATGGTAGAGTTGTGGTGCTATTTTGAGTATTTCCTTGTGTGGCGACATCAGCATTTTCAACAGTAAAATCTGTGTATTGCTCTATGCAGAAAATACTTAGGGTATTGCTTCCTTTATAAAGGAGAAAAGGTTAATCATTATAGTCCAAAATACCCTGAAAAAGAAGGTAGGGAAGGGATGAAAAATCCATGTTGCACTGATGTGCATCAAAGAATTTAAGTGGGGTGCTCATCCCCAATGGGTCTTTTTGCAAAGTCTACTTTTCATTTTTCATCTTTTTTTTTTTAACTCCTTAAAAGTAGAATTAACTATGGCTCTGACATCTCCTCCCATGCGTCTGCCAAACTCTGTTAACCAGCCATGAGACTTTGTGTCTTGGTTTCCCTGTGATCATATGGGGGTGTAGGGGGTAAAAACACAAGGTGTGCTGGTTTTCTTTGATGCAGTAACATTACTGCATAATCTTTCAGTAATGCATTTACTTAAATCAATCTAGATCCAGAATTGTCCCTGGGATTTCATCTGCAACTGATTTTTTCACAAGTATCCTTTGTCTTTATATCAGTGATCTTTTTACTTTGTTGCTGGAGGATGCAGGAGTATATGTCTTATATAGATGTCTGAAGAATCAGCTAAGTGATAAGTAGCAATCACCTCTCCTTATAGCTATGTTCTCTTCAGCTGAAATAAAGTAAGTTTGTATATCATCTTAGAAAAAGTGATAGACATGGTAGACTGCAAGTGCAAACACTTTTCTCCATTCAATGAATGTTTAAGTGAATCATAGAATCAAGGTTTGGGCTTGAAGGGACCTTAAAGATCATGCAGTTCCAACCTCCTGCCATGGGCAGAGACACCTTTCACTAAACCAGGTTACTTAGTGCCCTATCCAACCTAGCCTTGAACACTTCCAGGGATAGAATCCATTTTTGTTTCATCACCTCAGTGAAAAATATTGGTGCTGTAGGTAATGAAATGCCATAGATAACATGGGAAGTGATGGATGTCTCATGCACAGCTTATTGAGTGCTTTTGCTGCAAATTATATATACATATCACAACGGCTTCTTTTCCTTTTGCTAGGTAATTACACAAGCAAAAGTGTGTGGAATCACCAATGAATCAGGGACAGTCAAAAGGCTTCGTTTGGCAATTGAAAATAAGGATTTTACTTTCAAAGCAGGACAGTGGTAAGATCTTCTGGTATGTTTGAGGGGGAAACTACTAGAAGAATTCCACTATAACAAAGTTCTGAAAGGTGTCTGATCCTCGGGCCTTGGAAAAAGTTGTTAATTTATATAATACAATGGTTCCTTATTGGATGCTCTGTTAAGAGCTCAAAGGTATTTGGCATAATTTTTAAATAGTCATTAAAAAACTGCTAATATTACTATTAAAAGGGCAGAAGTGGATATTCTTTAAATGCTCAGTGTTTTGGTGTTTTCCTGTTTATTATATTACATTGTTTCTTTAGGAGTACTTTGAAATTCACTGCACTTTAGTCTGCAGGCTGTCTTTATTTACTGTTACTTTTAAGGTGGAGCTGAGACTGCTAATTTGCAAGTTACTTAGTTTTGGTTTATTTCTTCCCCTTGAAGTTTCCACTTTGAAAATTAAGCCTGTTACGTCAGATTATTATATTAATATAAATAGACAAATTTGAAAATAAAAACTTTGAATAATTAAGCCTTTGAAACAATTAACCATTAGTTTAAACAATTTTTACAGGGTTTTTTTTCCCCAAGGAAGTAGTGGATTTTCATGTTTTTCATCCTTCCTTGTTAAAAATACTCTCACTCAGTAACTTTTTTTTTCCTCATAGAAATTAATTTAAAACCAGGATTAGTTGCTTTTGGCAGTGGACAGTAAAAAGTTCTTGAACTTTTTATTGGCTTTGGCCATCTGAAAGTGGTTTTGCTGAAATCAGAGTATAGCTGCTAGGGTACTAACAGCATATGTTACTCATGGAGTGTTAATATGCTGGCTTTTAAATTTAGAATCAGAACACAAGATGCTGATTAGCAATAATTTGTTTCTGAAGTAATTTGCTGCAGTTCTTGCACATGTGCAATGACTCATAATAAATTCTTGCTTGCCAGAACTTGCAACATACATTTTCCCTCCAAAAACATTTTTGAAATTATCATGCTGGAAACTCAAATCTTTAATTATAATTACTCTTCTTAATTTTCTTCTTCCTTGAAAGTGCTCCAATGCTATTGTAAGGTACACACCAAGTTCTCTGTACTTGTATCTATAAACTGGAGTTGCATTTTTTTGATGAGCAGTACAAAACAACACATTTTCCTGAGCAGAAAAGGCTAACTTGTTAGGATTTGCTGTAGTAAGATGTTACAGTCAAAGATTGTCACTAAAATGTTTACATTTCCTGAAAGTGTTCTAATTATTAAGTTTTTCAGAAGCAAAACTGAATTTGTTTTTCAAGCACTTTGGCAGATACTGGTCTTTATCTGACTTCAAATAATAATAATGAAGAGATTTGTTGCTGTTACACCTTTTGATTTACTAAAATGTGCATTGAAGTATATGCATGTTGCAAATACTTTGAAGAAGTAGCTTTATGGTGTTGGTGTTTCTGATCTCTCACTCCAGCAATGGATAATTATTACTCATTTCTTAAATATATATGGTTTAGGTGGGTTTTAAAAGGAGGGAAGTAAAAAACCACCCTGAGATCTCTAGTTTACATCTTTTTGTACCTCTCCTTGTGGGTTTTCTTCATGTTTTTCCCTTCTGCTGCGCTTTTACCTTAGGCTGTCACAGGTAACATTTGTTCAGGAGCCCTCTCACCCTTCTTAACATGGCTGAGACGAGCCATCAGAGCTAGTCCATTATATGATAGTAAACTGTGCCTTGAAATCTCTCATAGTCATGTACTTGGGAAAAAAATACATCTAAATCAGTATTTGGGAAAGGTAAAAATCATGTTTGACATAGGTTTTGCAATCATGTTTGGGTGTTTCCCCACCAGGCACGGATAAGGTTTCCCTTACATGCCAAGGAGAACATTTTGACTTGAATGTAAATTGTGACTTGACAGCAGAAATTCTCATATTTTTCATTAATTTCAATAAGTTCATCTTAAGTAGGAAGATTATTTTCCACCAGAGGGAGGTAAAGACCTTCAGTAGCGTCGTGAGATGTTCTTTGGCAGGAGTCGACCTTTCTCAGCTCCCAGAGCCTGTCAGTAAAGCTGGGCCCCATGGGCAGTGGGGCTGCACAAGCTGAGGACAATGAAATAATCTAAGTTTTTTTGGTTGTAGACCATTCTTTTGCAGTCAGGTATCTTCATCACCATGAAGATGTTATTAGCATAAAGTAAAAAATTTTATCACACTGTATGCATTCTTTGAGAGAAAGATTTTTTTCTTCAAAGGGTGAATTTTGTGTGGAGTAAGCAGACAATATTTTTTTTCTTAAAAAATGGTGAACTACTCAAAATGCTTCCTCTTTCCTCAAGCATTTGTGGTGTCTGTGAAGAATACAGCCTTGCTGTTTAAAGAAAATACCTGTGCAGTAGCAGCCAGTCTGTATTTCTTGTTGCATCATCACTTAACTAATACTGAGCCAGCCTAACCCAGGCTTGAACAGAAATGGTTCTGTCTAGTGCCTGGCATTGTTTATCATTGTGATTGTTTCCTAAGGGGACCAGCACAACTAGTTAGAGACATTTGGTTTATTTTGAAATACAGTGCTTTTGTTATGTGCTGTATAAATCAGCAGCATTTAAATATTTAGGGAACACAGAGGAGTTCAGGTAATAGATCACAAATCAACTTGGAATATTTTTTTGATAACTATTTGGAAGCCTCATCAAGGCTTTTCAAAGCCTTACTTTTATGAGACTGAATTATAGTTCATATGTAGTAATGGCTTGCCTTGCATGCTCTCTAATGGCTGGTACTGCAGCAGCTTAGGCACGTGTTACCTTCTTATTTGTACAAACTCATGCATGGCTTACTTTTAAGCTGAAAGGAAAAAAAAAGTAGGAATTTATTCCAGTTCTATTTCCTATAGCCTAAGAAGTGATATCTGCCACCAGAGGGAGCTGCGGTTCTGCTGCCAGCTCTGGACTTCTTACATGGAAAATTTTTTCATACTGTTGGTTTTATTTCAGATATTTCATCTACCCAAGAAAAGAAAGTGTTTAATATAAAGTCATTTCCCTAAAATTAGAATGCCAATCTTATGTTTGAAAATTGAAGAGCCCATCAAAGGGACAAAGAGAGTGGGAACTATACTACTCTTATCAGACCATAATTATGTTTTTGTTCTAATATGCAAATAATTTATTTAAAACACTTAGAATTCTCGTCTGTTGTGACATCTAATGTTAAAAGCAGAATGTTTTGAAAACCTCTAGTTTAGCAAATATGATGACATGGTTTTAGAAGAAAATAATTCTAAGGTAATAGTGTTACTCAGGGTTAACTCCTTTTTGGAAAAGTTATGTTACAGCAAAGAAGATGTTGTAAAGGAAAGATAATTGAAACAGAGGCAGCCACATTATTTTGGCTATTGTTGTCCATGTTTGGGGTTGCTGGCTTCCTTTTTAAACTTTCGTGTCTGATCTGTTTTTAGGGTTGATTTCTTTATTCCTGGAGTATCTGTAGTTGGAGGATTCTCAATATGTTCAAGCCCTGGCCTGTTAGAACGAGAAGGAATACTAGAGCTGGCAGTAAAGCACACTGTTCATCCTCCTGCTCACTGGGTTCACACTGAGGTAAATGAAATCAACTGTGAGATTTGGCTTGCTCTCTTTTTTTTGAGGTAAAGGAGATGGTGTGTGTTTTCAGACCATTTTGTACTATTAACTGCAAAATTCACATTGCCTTCCTCAAGCATTTTGGATACAACATAAATCTTAAAATGTTTTGTTCAGCAAGGGACTGAAATTGGATATTTATATGGAAATATGGTAATTGTGATCATTTGACACCACTTGTGCATACAGAGTACTTAAAGTGGTACTGTAGTTACTGTATATAAGGAATTTGGAATTAATGAATTTTTGAGAAACCTCTGTTCTAACTTACATCCCTGAGAACAGGCAATGTTACACATTACAGAGTTACCTCTGATAACCTTCCATGATTCCTGACTATTTCTGTAAATATAAAATGCTGGGAATCAGTGACAAATCACAGATATAGATTATTGAAGGGGAGCCAAGAAAGATACTTAGATCAGTTCCTCTGACATGATAAAACATTTCAGAATATCTCTAGTATTCTTTTAAATACACAAATTTTTGTAATAACAACACAACACAAGGCGTGGGTTTTTGCTGTATGAAAAGTAAAGTATGAGACTTGGCCTCATGGAGTTTTGTTCATCATTTACCCCATTTAGTTAGTCAAATGAGTCACGTTTCATCAGTGATCTATCTGTCCTATCAACTTCTGTTCTTTTCACAGTCTCTGGAAACTATTTAAGAATTTTTGATGTTGTAAATCAGTTTTTGTTGCTGAGTTTTCTGGTTAAATTTACGGGATAAATCTTTAGTTAAGGGGTAACCTACATCAAACCTGATGTTGTGGAGAAACCTCCAGGATATACATGGACTCTTCTAGCTAAACAGAAATGCATGCTTTTCTTCAGGAAACAAGCAGAAAAAACAGCAACCTAGAATTCAGAAATGTTGTATATATGGTGACAAAACTGGTGCTTAATTGTTTAAAAGCTGTTTTGAAAGGAAGTTGGTATCTCAGGTTAAAAATGTTATGGGAATAGTTAGCACTGATTTACTTGCTGTATTTGTGTTTTTTAGAGGTATTTATTTCTTAATATTACTGTATATAAAATAATAGATTTTAGCACCATGTACTTAATATAACTTGAGGAAGACATAGCCTTTTCTTTCAAAAACATCCATGTAATGTATTGATTGCTTCACTTCTCTGCCTGAGCTATGTCTATAAACTAGGCTAAAGGACAACATTTTCTCATGGTATTACTCCAGAATTTTACTACTTTTTTCTGTATCCTGACTTACTGTTATTGTCATGGCCAAAGCATGGAAATCCTGGAAGACTGCTGGTTAAGAGAGACTCTTCCCAAATCCCATGTCTGATCTTGAGGAACTATGGCTGGTTAAGGGGGCAGATGTGAGATTGTTTCTCCCTAAAATTGCTTATTTCCTCAAAGGGTACCATATTCTATGTCCTCCTTAGGCCACATGGATCTGGAACAGATGCGGATTTGTGCTTCTCTAGACCAGAGTAAAACATGAGAAAGCCTGGCAGTGTATATCACAAGGGAGAGAGAAATCAGTTTCAGATACTGAATGTTCATTTGCCCTACAGTATACTTGAGAGACAATAGTTCTGCAATAATTAAGAAAAGCAGGAAAGTTGTTGGGTGTTTTTAATGGCTGTGCTTACTATCTTAGGAACCTGTGTGTCCTGTGCAGTACCTGCATCAAAGGGCATCCTTCTTGCTCCTGGTGGAATTGTTACATGATTAGACCTGAGCTCTCTGTGTAGCCTTCATTAATGGAACTCCCTTTGTTTCAGTTTACTGTTTCCTGCTATTAAAATAACTCTTTGGAGGAAGTGTTTTCATTCTCTACGCTAATTTTTCAGCAGTTCCTATAGCTTCTTTTTCTCTCCTCCATTCTCACCTTCCTTGGTTTCCCTATCCTCTTCATTTTATTTTTTAAAACCTATATATGGCCTAAGTGCTCTTATTTGTTCTGTCAGCATGAAGTGATGTGGAAGAACTCACCTGACCTCTCTGTGCTGCAGCTGCACCCTTCAGACAGGATGCAGTGCTGGTTTACCAAGGAGATACTGACCCAAGTGGATTTTTTTTTGCTGCAGCTTTTGTTTTCCATGTATCAAAAAAAACCATGCTTGGACACATTTCTTTAGAAAATAATTTCTTACATAAAAGTGAGAGTAAGAGAGATTTTCCCCTGATTTTTCTTCTGAGTCTCTGAAGTTGCAACTGCAGAAGTGATTCTGCAAGAAATACTCATGTGGATACTTGCTTCACTTCTGAGTGGCTTTTAATTTTAAGGAATGAGGATGGAAAAACCTTCTGTGTATGCAACTTATTCTGACCTTCAGTGACCTCATAGGAAGGCCTTTTTTGGCATAAAGCTGGTTTTGGGTAGAAGTGTGATTTCACATTATGAGCTCAGGTTTTCACAACCACATATTGTTGGAAAACTCTGTGTGAATTGTTCCTCTTTCAGCTCTTAAGGGGGGGGGGGGCATGGATAGGAAGGGGGAGTCACCATCCTGCCTTACTGTAAGACTGAAACAGTAGAACTAGATCCCTAGAGACACTGGGTTACTTCAGATAGTTGGAAAGTGTGTGTATATTTTAAAGTCCTTGTGTTTTTCCTTCACTGGTCAATTAAAATAAAAATCACAGCCCAGCAAAACTTGCAACTGGGATGCAAAAAAATAAGATTTCAACTTTTGCATTTAGTTCTGAAATGAAATGTCTTCTTTTCCATCCTAGTGTACTCTTGACTCAGAAGTGGCTCTGCGAGTGGGAGGTGATTTCTTCTTTGATCCTCAGCCTGGTGACCCCCCAGTAAACCTAGTGCTGATAGCAGGGGGTGTTGGAATTAACCCATTGTTTTCTATACTGCTGCATATAGCAGATCTTCATGGATACCAAGAGGGTAAAGGAAATAGACACAAACTGGGAACAGTGAAGCTGTACTACAGTGCAAAAAATACAAGTGAACTCTTATTTAAGGTAAATCAAAAGTTTTTTTAAAAAACAGATCTCAGATATTCAGCTGCTTGTGTGTATATCAATGTTACCAAATTCCAGAGAGTCCTTCTGTGTAAGACACTGTACAGAGACAAAAGTTACTTCCTGCCTCAAATCCCATGTGTGTTTTGTTAACTACTTATGCCATTGTACAAATTAAGGCTGTTACTGGACACATCTCCCACTGATTTTGATAAGTCAATTACCCCTAAATTTTATGATATCCCTGCATTTTACTATGATCTTGTAAGTGCATCATAGTATACTAAAGATTATATATATATGTATATACACACTAACAGTCTGCACAGTGCTATAATACTGTAGCCACATAGTCTAACTAGAGATTGTATTGAATGTAAAGACTACAAAAGAGTAATTATATCCAAAGGAATACTTTCTAAAATAAGAACAGAGCTTTATTGATAGTGCATTAGTTACTAATAAGTACTAGTGTATGAATGAAGGATTTATAGCTGCTTTTACAACTGCTTGTCCAGCACCTCATCAGCATTTCTCAGCAGTTAAAGATCAGTTGTCACACTCAGCCATTAAGGGTTATTGACAATATCTTAGGGTCAAATTAGCATAGTTTCTGTAAAGAAGCATCGAAAATTTTTTATGGGTTTTTTAAGTATTGAAAGCTTTTGATTGTAAGATAAAGATGAAGAGCTGTCATGATTCCAGAAACTGTGTATAGGATCCATCACTAATTTTATTTCTGTACTTCTACCATATTTCCAGATATGCAGATACTTACTTTCTTTGAAAAGTCATTTGTTTATTGCTAGAAGCAGAATAATCTGCTCTTCCTTTTGGCCACCTACTCATCTTCCAGCCTGTTCTAAGCATGCACAGGTTTTTCCAGTGCCAGTACTGACATTCCCAGCATTCACTTGAGCAGTTTTATGACAGCAGAACTTTTGCACTAAAGCTCTGGGACAGAAGAGAACACGGTGTCATGCACAGTGCTTAAAATATGTCCCTCCTTCATTCTTCACGTGTCCCTCAGATCCAGAACTTGACTGTCAAAATTCTTGACTTTTGTACAGAGGATTGAGAAAATGGATTCTTTAGCAGCCTTTATGCTGTTGTGACACATATCTGTACAGGATGTGTAGTCTCCACAAAGACCTGCTGGGTTATCACTGATGGTGTGGAGGATGTGGTCCCTGAAGGAGCAGCTGTGTATGGGCTGACAAGGGCAAAGGGAGATGCCATGGTGGGATCTGATCCTCACTGTGGATGTGCTCTCATGTCACAGGCTGAGGCACTGGAAATATCCTTAGTGCAAATTATACAAGCAACAGCAAGTCAATAGTAGAGGTGCTGGTGGAACACTGTACTGCAGTGGCAATATGTGCTGCTCTTCACCCCATGGTTTTTTAGGGATTTGGGAACAGATTTTCTACAAAGCAAAATCTCTGGGAATTTTTGTTAAGCAATCCAGGACAGACAGTGTAGTGTAGTAACTAAAGCAAACATTCATTAACAAAAAAATGAGCAAATTTATCTAGAAATTACTTTTACTTCAGAGTACTTTAAAGAATTTCCGGTATCTATGCCAGCAGTGAAAATCCTGTATAATGCAGAATCTAGACAGTAGCTAAATCTTAATTTCAGAACTAACTACAGCATCTAATACATTCTTTTTGAGGTTTTTTTTGGTTTTTTTTTTTTTTTTTTTTTTTTTTGGTTGTTGTTGTTGTTGTTGTTTGCTGATTTGAACTGAAGCTGCTGGGGATTTGGTGGTAACTTACCACAGCTGTGACTTAGGGAACTGAAAATGAATTTATACTTTCTGCTCTGGAAAAATAAAATTAGCATTACATGGTAGTTGGTTTTACTTGAGAACATGAGGCAGTAAAGAGTCTAGTGACCTTATCAGATAAACCAGACAGGTCTCGAAAAGTTTTTAACTAATGGTAAATACATACTGGGGTTTTTTAAAATGGAAAACCCCTATGGAAGTGGAAGGAGAAAATACTGAGAATTCATAAGGGGAAGAAATTTGGAAAATACCTATCTGTATCTTAGGTCCAAATATTACAGATTGCAATCTGTGCCAGAAAAGGAGAAAACCACTAACATAGCTGGCAGGGTATTTGCATTCCAAGTGTGGGAATTCTGTGTACGTGTAGAGGTCAGGCCTGTGGAATCACATCCATCAGGTTCTCAGTGCTGAAATGCAAAGTCTTGGTTCTCAGTAATAATCACTGGCATTCTGGGACTGTGTGCATACATCTGCTTTGATTTAGTGGCCTGTGGTGTAAGGAAGTGTGTTTAACATTACAGAAAAATATTCTTGGTTTGATGAAGGCGTTTCCTGGAAAGATCACATGTTGTTTCCACGTCACCCAGCAGTGCTCACAGATCTGTAAAGAACTGCAGCCACACATTACAGGTAAGTGTCATGGCATTATAGAGAGATCCTATCTGGAGCCCCAGTTGGATTACATCCTACCGGATGAAGCTGTGCATAATAACCCAGCACTTTTATATTTAAAGCTTCAAAATGAGATGTGAGTTAAATAGTTTCTCTGTACTTACTCTGCTTTGCAGAAAAGTTTTCTATTTCGTGTTAATCCTAAACTTTACATGGGTATTTCCCACTGCAGACTTTATTCCAGAAACTATCAAGCAAATGCTGTTTACTTTCATTAATGATGAAAGGATGAGCTGACTGCTTATAAGAGATACTTCAGCATGTTTCCATGTCTGCTGTATTTGTGTCAGAGATACCTATTTTTTTCATGGGAATTTGGGATTTTACTTGTCTGTAAGCCATGTTTCTCTTCAGTGACTAATACGCTCTGCATTCCTAGAACAAGCACTGATCTAAATCTCTACGAAAATAAATGGTTTTGGAAGCCTTAAATCTCAATACCTATTATCCTGAAACAGACCAGAGAAATGAGTGCCTGAAATACCTTTAACCAGACACTATATTTGAAGTGACTTCGTGATTAATATTTCTGTTCTCATCTCCTACTTTTTTTCTTTGTCAGAGGGAAGAATATCTGAAAAGGATCTAGAGAAACACGTATCCACCGATACTTCATGGTACATCTGTGGTCCCCCTCCAATGATAGAATCTATATCCAAACTACTCACTAACATTGGTGTTCCTAGAAACCGTATTTTCTTCGAGAAATGGTGGTAGTGACACCTGCTGAAGAGAAAATGATAATATTTTTTCCAGTGCATTTTGATAAGCTAAAATGTACAGAGATGGACTATGAATTATTTTGAAGATTTTAATGAAGATGTCCTCAGTGATGAAAGTGGTCCTTTAATTTAACTGTAATATGCCTGTAACACAGTGCTGCTGCTTTGGGGGAAAAAAAGTGATTTTATATTAAAGATATTAACTGTTTTGGTTTTTTGATGGTTTGCCTTTTCTTAGGGGTAGCAGCATATTTTCACTTTATACACTTGCTTTGTTAGTCAGCTTTTAAAATACTTTTTTAGTGGCTGATTCAGCACTTGTAGAGAATTAGTTGTGCAACAATGCCAGATATGTTTGTAAGGATCATTCAGGCCACAACCTCTGAATCTGCTCCAAATGAGCTGACACGCTTCCCTCCCAGTTCTATATAACACATTTACTATTATTATAAAAGAGCTGCTGTGTTGTGACTTCCTTCTCTTGCCATTTCTTCTCAGAAGAAAAAAACCCACCTTTTATGTGGTTTATGTAAAGAAGTCAGTTGTGTTGACAAGGACATTTTCTCATAATCCTGTTTAGCCCTGAGTTTAAAGTGCAGAGTGCAGCAGTCATAGGAATTCCTCCCCTGAGCCTGTATCCTCTGCTGAGGTGTTCAGCCAAAACTGTGCTTACATGGGTCGTGTCCTCAAAAGCAGTACTGGTCAGCAACAGCCAAGGTGGGAAATCTCCAGAGTCCTGCTGCATGAAGTACAGAGCTGTAGGGGATTCCAGGGCATACTGCTTGGAGAAAAGTCTTTGGAAAGGTTGGTCTTGCAAGGCATGAGTGTATCTCTAGGTGTAAGGGCCAATACCTGAGCCCTTCCTGAATCAACCTTCTTTGTCCAACTTTTAGAAAAACTAATCATAGAAATTAGGAGACCAACAGAATCTATAATGAATTTGTTAATTATCTGCATAGGTAGTTCAAGTCCTTAAGTGGCAGAGATTCCTGCTGTACATTTGAAGACCTCAATCAGGAACAATATCAAAAATATTCAATTAGTACTGGATTAGTAAAAATGTTAGATGGATAAGGCCTTCCCTTTGTTAGTGGCTCCCTTCCTTGAGTTACATGTTTCAGACATAGTAAACTAGGTAATGCAGCAAGGTCCTGGTCATCAGTGTCTCCCTGCTCTGCCTTAAATAGGGGTTGCAGAGACACTGAACTACCAGCCAGGTCCCAGCCTGCTGCAATCACCTTGGTGTGAAGCACTTTGTTTTTCAAGCATAACTTCCCTGTGGTTGGCTGAGAAGGCCTCGAGCCCAGCTGTAGCTCTCTCCCAAGAAGTCATTTCACCTCCAGCATACTCCAGTTCTGCTCTCTTTTTATCAGTCTGGTCTGTTGTACAGCTTGGAGGCTACTTACTGGCACATCCATGTGCACCTCATCCTCAGACTGCAGAGGTAGCCCTGCTGGGAAAGGCCAGGCCTTAGTCTGAGCAAAGCACGAAGCTGCTCCTGGGACTATGTCAGGAGCTGATAAACAAATGAAATAATGGCAGTGCTTCCTGAGTGTTGAAGGGAACAGGCCACACCTGCTGCCACCCAGCACACATGGAACTTAAGGACAGGCTGTATTTTCCATCAGGAGGGGTGAATCTGATTGATGGACCTTTAAAAGTTAACTTTTGGGGATAGTACTGTGATGAGGCTTTGCTCCTAAGTTTGTGCCTTCTGCTGCCTACACTTAGGTCTGTGCTTCTGTTCCATGCAGTGCCACCGCCAGCTGCCATCGCTGCCCCCCTGCACAGCCACTGCAGGCCCAGAGGGGATGTCTCATCCTATCCCTCCTCCTCAAATGAGAGGAAGATTTCTTCTGAGTACCCCTATTTCAATGAATACTTCCTTGTTTGTTCACTCTAGAATGTAAATAGGACAACGTGCTTGTCACAAAAAATAACACCAAGGGTGTTTTGTGTTCACAGAGATCGCAGCTGACATGTCAGATCTTGATTCTTGAAAGAAGCAGGGTTTTCCTAGGAACGTGCAATACATTGCTATCAGGAAGTACTGGTGCCCTAAAATAGCCATGCACTAGGCTCATCTGTGTTTTAACAGTGTCATGATAAAAAGATTCTAAGAAGCCTTTAAATGTTGTTTTTCTTATGACTTCTAAATAATTTCATGAATTATAAACTGGTACACCCTTTTCTTCCCTTAATGCAGAGGCTTTCTGCAGCCCAAATTACATCTCTTTCACAAACCTTCCTTAGACCTGTACCAAAATGTCCATTTAACAAAAGGCATTTTGAAACCCTTTGCTTCTGTCATCATCTTCTTTTCCCTCTAACCTCCTTCTGTCATCCCCTGTTACACTCAGCCTGAGTGCTGTGGGGCAAGGACACATCTAATTGTGTGGGCTCACCCACTTGAAGAGCAGGATGAAACATACATACACTGCCCCAAAACATGGACAAGAATTAATTATTTCATACCCCTTGCCCCCCCCCACCAAAACAGTGGTAGCCTCTGGTACTGTGAGCAAGAAGTCCTTTCTTATCATGTAATAAATGCTGCTTCTAAGCCAAGAAGTCGGGAAAGTTATTGACATCCCCTTCCTCCACAGCCTTTTCCTGTTAACACTTAAGAATCTTTTGGAAGTCTATTTCTAAAGAGTTTTGTGGTCTTTTAGTGAGATGTCAGTTTCACCTTAAAGTCTGTTATTGGATCTGACTCTGCCATAAATGAAGACAAAAATAACATCCCAGAAACATTAACCCATTTAAACACATGGTCTACAAATAATTCAATAAATGTGATATTGGCCTGCACTGGTGAGAACAGAGAGCAGCCCCTGCTGTTCAACTGCTACTGAGTTGGAGAAATATTCTCATCACTTTTGTGAATCTTGTCATCATAGGAAATGTTTATTCCTCTTACACTTGTGCCATCAGCTAAGGAGCAACTGAAGGAGAAAAAATAGACTAGTAACTTTTTTTTTGTTTTTGCAATAAAGGATGAGGAATGAGATATGTGTCCATCTATACATTTATATTAAACTTAATGAGATGGTTTGTGAGTTACCTGGTGTTGCAGCCTTGTTAGACTTTATCTTTCTCTTCTTCCTGTGACACATATTATACCAGTTTGCCATGTACTTATCTGGTACAATGAGTATCAAATATTCCTATAGTATTTACATCAAATAGCTGGAAAAGGAGTGGCTATTCAGTTATCATTACATCGTTTTTTAGTTACTAGAGTGCTTTTATAAGTAAGTAACAGAAAGCACTTAAAACTGAAAAGCCTTTTTTCCCCCTTCAGTGTACAGGTAAGGTATTGATTAGAGTCAGCTGCCACATCCAGCACCACAGGCACCTTCCTGAGGATGGAGGCTTTGGCAAGGATCACCTTTTAAAGCCAAAAGGAAATCTTTACTAACAGCATCAGAGATATATGAATTATATCTACAAGTACAATTTGTAGGTGTATTGTTTGCTGGCATTTCTCATACTTTTGAGAAACGTTTATCAGCAAGAAATTAGTATCTGCTCTTCTTATACTCTTCAGTTCTGGAAGGATGAAATTCCTGCATGAAAGGCTGATCATGCTTCATTTCTGCCCTATAATTGGCTCCCTGAGGCAAATGTAGAGTCACAGGAACTACAAAGAAAAAGTAGGGTATCCAAATGCAGAGCCCTTCCTCTGCTCACCTCAGAAATCGAGGCTGACAGAGGAGTCAAATTAGGGAGAAATGGGTATATTGTTTTATATTTAGCTTCATTTCCACACATATATTAAAGCTACTTTGGGCTACATCTTTTATACTGTTTCAAGTGCACAGAAAAAAAAATCAAATCAAAGCTGAAGTACCAGTCCCACTGTTTGTGCACTTCACCTCTCTTAACATACTTGTTTTCGTTATGATGCTTCAAGAGTTTGGACACCCTACTCAACGTAGTTGTACCCCCCTGCCCCTGCTCCCCGCTCTTTGCTGAAATTTAAAAACCCTTTTCTATCTTTCATTTAATTCAGCCACTCCTCTTTGACATTCCTCATTTGCCTCATGCAGGACTTTCTTAAACACCTCCAGGGACAGTGACTCCACCTCCAGCATTTGCGTCACTGCCCCAGGAAACCTATTCCAATGCCTGAGCTGGATTTTCTCCTTTGAACTTTTGCCTAACAGCTGGTGGCTTGTTCAGATGACCACTTGCTGACTGCTGTCTTTCACTTCCCTGGCCACTCTGGTGGTCCTGCTTTTTTAGGCCCAAAATGGCAAAGGCAGCTGAGATAAAATGCAGATAACAGCTGTGGAGCCTTGCTGCTGCACCACAGACCTGTCTTCCCCAGCCCTCATCACATCTGGATCATCTGTCTGAGAGATGCTCTCTCACTCTTCTTGGGACAGGAGCATAGTACAAGCACACACACAGCTTCAGGCAGCTGAACCAGCTCAGAGTAATTCAAAATCACATCTTGGAACTGATTATGAGATTATAAATCCCAAACCAGCTGCCCTTTTGAAACTGAAAAAGCATTCAAGTTCTCTTTGACTCCTCCCAACCATAACCCAGCTTTTACAGGAACAAAGTTTTAAATCAATCCTTCACTTAAACAAGTGCAACTTCCCCACTCCCCACAGGCCCTTCCATGCTCTCTTGGGAAAGGAAAACGAAGTAGCCAGTTCTGTAGCACCAGTAACTACTGCTAATTCAGTAGTAAGGAGCTTCCCCTCATCACCACTTAGAGAACCGAGTTCCTCCTTTTGAGGATGAATAATTGGCATTTGTGCAAACACCACAAATAAGGAATCTCCTCATGACCTTTATTTTCTCTTTAGTTTTGTAAGCAGTTTGGATTCAGTTAAACAAGGTCATATTGCAATCCAATAAACGTTTTCTATTAAAAAGTATTTGGAGAGGTCTTTCTACTGCAACACTTTCTACTAGCAAAACGTTCATTAAATATTGTGACTTTTTAAACAAGATTAATACAAAGCTTGAGATAGAAACCATCAGTAAAAGGATCTTATGCTAAAAAAATCTGCAAACAGGAACTTAAAATTGTACAGAGCAGAGACCTTGCATTTAAGCAGAACAACTGCAGCAACCTATTTTTGAGGCTATTGGAACCCCACTGTCATCTTAAAATACCAAATGAAACAATTGAAAAATAGCATCAGAAAGTGAAGTTATTTACAGTCCTGTGGTTAAACCACTGAATTCAAAA